TATTATGAACATTTGTACATCTTTGGATGAGAAGATAAAAATGTGGACTGAAGATATCTTAACATCTTTATGAGCATTGATTAAATCTGAACATTGGTATTATATTGCACAAAAGCAATTTATTATACAAATGATAATAACAATTGAAACTGATCTTCTACACATAAGATGTATTCTAGCTGTGCGAAGGATTGATCGGTGCTGTGAAGGCTTCTGCGGTCATTGGTCGGTTTCTGAAAAGAAAATCATTGAACGGTAATTTTTGCAAGGGTGTTAGTGAGATGAAAATAGGGCGTTAATGGGGTTCAGGATGCTAATGGCTGTCAATCAATATTGCTGCATGCCAAGTTTCGAAAAGAGAAACACTACAGATGTTAGAAGTACTGATTATAGAGAATGCGTGTGCTAAAATTGCTTTTGCTTTGATTTTGTCATTTCTTGGGCGAAGTTTCTTCAGAAATTTACTGGAGGTTACTACAATAATGTCAAGTATAGTAGTAAAAATACAAAAGTATTGCCATTAACATTGTTTACTACCAGCTCCAGGAAATTTCAAAGAAAGATAGTCACAAAAGGGCAGTTGAAGCTTTTTTTTTTGCAGCGCACCGCTAGATATTGCATTCTTTGATTTGCTGTACGGTGTGCAATAACACTAGGTACGAGACAAACAAAATTTTCATCGCGAAAAGTAGCAATATTAAGATTGAAAATGAGCTGGAAGATTCTCCTACCGGGAAAATACGAATTTTGGGAAAGAGGGCGCTTAACAATCACCATTAGTAGAAAGTGAAAAAATTAAGGTGTGAAAGACTATTAGAAAGAAACCATACCAAAATTTTGTAATTAATGGTTTGCCCGCACCTGTTTTATAAAGCACAACATTATTAGATAATAAGCCTCGTGCAGGTTTGCTTTTGTAGTGGACTTCTGTACAGATCTGTGATTTAAAAGGAAAACAATAGAGCGAAATTTTTAAAATTTCTGAACTAAAGAGACTGAGATTTAAAAAAATGATTCGTTTCTTTAACTGTTTATAATGTAATTATTATT